TTGGGTTTAAAAAAAAAACAAACACACATATTCACCTAGGTGGATGCAACATCAGTTCAATGCTGCATCCGTCCTCCATTTCCTTTAAGACCAAGAAATGAGCTAGCAAAGAACATACTTATTTAACATCTATTAACTGAACTAGGTTATGTACTATTCTTTCTGCAAGATAATTAGTCTGATCCCTCAAATTAAATTAGACTGTTCTGTTTTCAACTAAGAGCATGCCTCAAGTGATGGAGTAAACATCATCAAGAAGATTAAATAGATCTGCCAAACCGTATTAGGTTTTAGAATTTAAGTATTTGGGTTTCATAAAGTAGATTATTGTAGTACAAACTTTATCTTGCTGCTTCTGCCTATCTAAAATAAAGAAAGGAACCATTTGCTATAAAGGTTGATAAACACATTGGAACATTGTACATTCTTATTTATTCCCTGAGCGTATCCTGATCTCTGTCACTTGGGACCACCGGGAAAGAACATCATAACTAAGATCCACCGAAGGCCTGCATGCAGGGACAGGTTTTAGAACCACTAAAATTGTATTGGTAACATTGTATTGCTTTGGTCACAGTGTGCTGAAAAATAAAATAGTAAAAAAAAGAAAAAAATTAAATAAAAAAAAATAGAAGTATTTGAAAAAAAATACAAATTCAATTATTATTATTATTTTCACCAAAGAAATGTAGCAGAATACATCTTGACCTAAATTTATGAAGAAATGTTATTTATTTGCAAAATGTTATAACAGAAATGAAGAAAAGTGCGTTTTTTTTTTCCAACGTTTAAGGTGTTTTTTGTTTTATTTAGCAAAAAAAAATAAAACACTCAGTGGTGATTAAATACCAGCAAACGAAAGCTCTATTTGTGTGAAAAAAATGATAAAAATTCAAATGGTTACAGTGTTGCATGACCGCGCAATTGTCATTTAAAGTGCACAGCGCTGAAAGCTGAAAATTGGACTGGGCAGGAAGGGGATATAAGTGCCTGGTATTTAAGTGGTTAATAAACATAGAAAATCTATCATAAGGGGTGGCTGCTATAATAGTGTATTTTAAACAGTAAAATTCACCATCACAATTATAGCAACAATGTACTGTTATCAGAACCCCCCCCCCCCCATTGTAAAATGACCAGCTGAATATTTAGTATTCTTGTCTGATTCACTAAATTATGCTTTCTTAATTGGGTGTTAAAAAATAGCTACACTGTAACCTTTGAATGTCTTGATGAATCAGCTTTTAATTCTCTTTTGTGCAGATGGATACTGTAATTAGTATGCTACATCACACTGCAAGTAATAATATTAAGTACAGTAGCCAAGCAGCTCTGAATAGAGGACCCCACAGGGCTCTAGACATTAAACATGGCCCTTGAATATATAAAGAAACAGAGGTCCTTTTTTTAAACCAAAAAAGTAGAAATCATCCTTCAGAACAATCATCAAGAAAAGAGTGATAAGACAAGCAACGGTTTGCTAATTTATTTGCACAATATGTTTTGCCAAGTTTCAGGGGATGAATTAGTAAAGCAAACAGGCTGTTTACCTTGCAAGGGAAGTTGCACTCTGCAAGGGAATTTACCCCAGAGCTTCATATATGTGGTGCAATTTCAAAGAATATCCAATCACATGCAAGAAAAAACAAATTTGACTAGAATATGGAAGTCAGCAGAGCGTTATATCATTCACTAAGCTTTAGGGACAACTCCCTTGCAAAGTGCAACTTCCCTTGTAAAGTGAGCAGTCTATTTGCCTTTGTTAAATTAAACACATTGCTTTATAAATAGGTAACATTGTCTGTAATATACCGATAAAATTCGAAATGACAATATAATGTACTATTCTTTTAGTATATTGCCATGTTGAATAAAGCCTGAACTAGGCAGGAGATTCTAAATTGCTGAGTAGCCTAAGATTAACCTTGGCAGTAACCTTTTTTTCTACAGACTGATTCCAGTGTGCTGTTGAAACATTTAACAAGGACATATTTTTACACTGCTGAGTGATTTTGAATCTCCCATTACATTTTGACTTAATTCTAATCTTTAAGTGAAGATTACTTAATAATCAAAAGTCACCAAAATGGCAGATTTTATTTTAACTGTTGAGCATTGGAAGCATACAGTCATGGCCGAAATTGTTGGCACCCTTGATATTTCTCCAGGAAATCATGTATTTCTCACGAAACGTATTGCATTAACACATGTTTTGCTATACACATGTTTATTCCCTTTGTGTGTATTGGGACAAAACAAAAAAAGGGAGGAAAGAAAGCAAATTCGACATAATGTCACACAAACCTCCAAAAATGGGCTGGACAAAAGTATTGGCACCCTTTCACAACTGCGGATAAATAAGAATGTTACAAGCATGTGATGCTCCTGTAAACTCACCTGGGGCAAGTAACAGGTGTGGGCAATATAGAAATCACACCTGAAAGCAGATAAAAAGGAGAGACGTTCACTTAACCTTTGCATTGTGTGTCTGTCTGTGCCACACTAAGCATGGACAACAGAAAGAGGAGACGAGAACTGTCTGAGGACCTGAGAACCAAAATTGTGGCAAAATATCAAACAATCTCAAGGTTACAAGTCCATCTCCAGAGAACTAGATTTGCCTTTGTCCACAGTGCGCAACATTATCAAGAAGTTTGCAACCCATGGCACTGTAGCTAATCTCCCTGGTCGTGGACGGATGAGGAAAATTGATGAAAGATTGCAACGCAGAATAGTCCGGATGGTGGATAAGCAGCCCCAAACATGTTCCAAAGACATTCAAGCTGTCCTGCAGGCTCAGGGAGCATCAGTGTCAGCGCGAACTATCCGTCGACATTTAAATGAAATGAAACGCTATGGCAGGAGACCCAGGAGGACCCCACTGCTGACACAGAGACATAAAAAAGCAAGACTACAGTTTGCCAAAATGTACTTGAGTAAGCCAAAAGCCTTCTGGGAAAACGTCTTGTGGACAGATGAGACCAAGATAGAGCTTTTCGGTAAAGCACATCATTCTACTGTTTACCGAAAACGGAATGAGGCCTACAAAGAACAAAACACAGTACCTACGGTAAAATATGGTGGAGGTTCAATGATGTTTTGGGGTTGTTTTGCTGCCTCTGGCACTGGGTGCCTTGACTGTGTGCAAGGCATCATGAAATCTGAGGATTACCAAAGGATTTTGGGTCGCACTGTAGGGCCCAGTGTCAGAAAGCTGGGTTTGCGTCCAAGATCCTGGGTCTTCCAGCAGGACAATGACCCCAAACATACGTCAAAAAGCACTCAGAAATGGATGGCAAAGAAGCGCTGGAGAGTTCTGAAGTGGCCAGCAATGAGCCCAGATCTAAATCCCATTGAACACCTGTGGAGAGATCTTAAAATTGCTGTTGGGAAAAGGTGTCCTTCCAATAAGAGAGACCTGGAGCTGTTTGCAAAGGAAGAGTGGTCCAAAATTCTGGGTGAGAGGTGTCAGAAGCTTATTGATGGTTATAGGAAGCGACTGATTTCAGTTATGTTTTCCAAAGGGTGTGCAACCAAATATTAAGTTAAGGGTGCCAATACTTTTGTCCAGCCCATTTTTGGGGTTTTGTGTGACATTATGTCATATTTGCTTTTCTGCCTCTGTTTTATATTTGTTCCAATACATACAAAGGGAATAAACATGTGTATAGCAAAAACATGTGTTAATGCAATACCTTTTTTGTGTGAAATACTTGATTTTCAGGAAAAATATCAAGGGTGCCAACAATTTCGGCCATGACTGTATATTTAAATAGTAACAGTCATTTCTGCAGGTCCACCTTCTTTTCATCAATACTGTGATCTTGCTATTCATTTATGATGTTTTTTGTAGATTGTACATGTCATCGCGTGTTTATTAAATGTAAAGCCAAAGTTTAGCTAGTAAAAAAAGAAAAATCCTACAGTTTTAGTCACATTACATGTAATAAAATATGTCTCACATTGTGCAGGCACCTGCATCCTGCAGAAATCTTCACTGCAGGGATGCCTGTCCTCTTCCTGTCTCTGAACTTCCAGTCTTGTAATAGTTAACAGCTTTGGGTCTTCAAGCAGAACAGCAGTACAGATAGTTTGAAGGGGACACGCCCCCTCCTTCCTCCTCCTCCATTGAAAAAAAGTTCTTTAACTGCTTGTACCATGATCTGTGAAAGGGGGAGAGAATCCTGTCAGTGATCAGACTCTCCACAATTCACAGACTGTGTTACAAGCAGTGTAATCAATGCAAGAATGTTTCTTAATAGAGGAGGAGGAAGGAGATCATTTTTATTTGTATTTTTGTCCATGAAATCTTGAGTTTTACGCAATGTAGTCAGGCAAATGACACAACTTTCCTTGTTAAAATTAAGGAATATATTTATTTATTTATTTATCGAGTTTATATAGCGCCAAAGGGTTTGCTCAGCGCTGTACAATAGAGGGGGGGACAATACATGAAACAGAACAGTAACATCAAACTACACAAGGGTAAGAGGGCCCTACTCTTTCGAGCTTACCATCTAGGAGGGAGGGGGTAGAGGCACAGGAGGAAACGGCTGTGGGGGATGGAGTGGTAGGAGGAGGGAAGGGCAGCGGCTGTTAGGTGAGGGTGGGGTAGGCTTCCCTGAAGAGGTGGGTTTTCAGGGAGCGCCTGAAGGTGAGGAGGGAAGGTGACCCCCAGCCTGTTGATCAGACAGTGAAGACAGCAGAAGACTGATGAGGTCATCCCTCTGTTCACTCCAGTCTCTCCTGCTATCAGCATGTTCCTTATCAGCAAATTTGGATGCAACACAATAAACCCTTAATTTCTATTAGATGTAAGCCAATAAGCCTGGTTTAAAGCAGTTTTAAATATGAACGTTTTTATTATTCAGTAGTTTTGCTGTGCAATTTTTACTTTCTGTGTGCTGTTTTGTTTGTCATGATACTGACTATAAAATAATATACAGTATGTATTTAAATATGTAAACAAAATTTAACTGAAACACTCATCTTGTTTATAGAATCGAATAGCCAAAAGAAGCCGGAAACTGGTTGATTATGACAGTGCAAGACATCACTTGGAAGCATTACAGAACGCCAAGAGAAGAGATGAAGGGAGAATTACTAAGGTAAGCAACACAATAAACTTGGAAAGAGAAAATAGGGGCGCCAATCTAAGTGCAGCATTAGAAGTCTTATAATGCTGCAGTTAGATTGGCGCCCCTATTTTCTCTTTCCCTGTTTACAGAGTTCAGCTTTACGCTAAGGGTGCTGCCACTGATGCTACCATGTATTGCCAGCTGCCCACCGTGAATAACCACAGCCTGTCCAACAATCCCTCTCCCTTTAATTTCCCTGGCTATAAGTTGGACTTTATTTACGGACTTGATATTGAACTTGTTACTGGATTTTTATTGGACTTTTAAGTTACTTTGGCTATACCCCTCCAGCGCCAAAATACCTATATATTTTTTTGTAAACAAAATATACTTAAGTCAGCAAAATACTAAAGTAAAGGTCAACTATTTTTATTTGACATTAGCACACAGTCAAAATCACAATACAGGAATTTAAATATTTTAATAAATTAAAAACCATAAACAAAACACCTTATTCATATCAAAAAATAATCTTATGGCAATACATTCAGAAAGGCAGAAACCCTGGAGGGAGCAATTGTTTTCTCTAGAGGTAAACAGATCTGATGATCAATACAAGCATTAGGTATGGCAGCTATAAAAGTGTGTTATTATACATAAAGGACAAAAAGCCCAAACTGTTTTTTTATCTAACATGCATTGCAGAACCCAAATATTGGCGTGAAAAGCGTTAATACCCATAGAAGCTTATTTATTTAAGGGCTCATTTTAACAGTAGCCTTCGTTCATTGCAAGTAGGCAAGTCAGACTCAGGGGAAATGTATGTTCTCTGAAATCCCTTTGAACTAAATTGGTTATTTGAAGTGAATATATGCTAGAATGTTGGATAAACAAATAAGTAAATTAAGTCTTCATTATTCTTACCCACGATCAACAAAGCAGACAATTCTGAAATAGATCTTTATCAATGTGATTATAACAGTGATATAGTATGACAAACTGCAATACACTCCCACGCAGTATAGGACAGTTTATTTCTAAACATAAACATAAAAGAAGGCATTAAATACATAATAAAAGTGTCCATTTATTAAAAATGTGTCTGTTTGGCAAAATACCGTAATCCCCTTTACACGTCCTGATCCAAGCAATATATATGCAGAAGAGTGGAACAGTCACCATCCTGAACTTTTCTACATACCAGAAATTTAACTCACTAGAAATGTTGCCTTTTTATAAGCTTAAATATTGCCTTTTTATTATCATTCTGCATCCCTCTTAACCTACAGGGATCATCATGTCTCATACACAGTCACTGTAGTAGAGAACAAAAACAGAGCGCACCAGCCTTGCACATTACCTCAGTAAACAATTAGTGGATTTATTGATTTAAGAGATATACTCACAAAAGTAGCAATATAACAGGCATATAATAATCCAAAAACGAATCATAGGATAAGGTGATACATGCAAATCTCGTTGGAAAGGGGAGACTCTCAGGGTGAATCTGACGCGTTTCGAAGGGGGGTCCCTTCTTCATCAGAGCTATCCAGACTGAGATAACCCTCCTCTATATATAGCCAGTATCAATGTGTGAGCCTTCCCAAATGGGCGGAACAAACACATCCTAGGAGGTGGATTTCTTTAAAGTGATGAGGGACTGAATATTTATCTTTGCAATTCTTTTATGCTCGCTGATACGAACTCACGGGGGGTGAGAAGTACGGCCTATATAGAGTAAGCCACATGGGCACATAAGACCATACTGTCAGGAATCAAGGAATGACCAGAAAGGTGTGGACTGACACAGGGAAACACACAGTTTCAGGTAAAGTATAATACAGGTTATTATTAGCCACCCAGATATATATAAATATAAACGCACAGTGCGCAAACCAACCTTCCACTAATCTTAGGAGGTGCAGGAACACAGGCGTAGTCAGGGCTGGAGAGGTGGAATGGTCAGGCCGGCCGTAGGGTTCTGTAATGACTGCCTGGTGGTACCTCTAGCGGTCCTCAGGACAGGATTCCCCAGGGCGCGGAGTCTAAGTCCCAGTCTGCTATTCACCAGGGCCCCTGATGGTGGGGATGGACTTGGAGCAAACAGGAACCAGGTCGCGGCCCCTGAGTACACCTGCTAGTGATAGAGGGATCCGCCAGAGGTATGTGCAGGTACAGCTGGATCCGTGCAGGATGGATGGATGGCAGAGTAGTGAGCGTGGTCAGACGGGCCAAGTCAGCAACGTGCGGGCAGCAAGGTATCAAAGGAGCAGGCAGAGAATGGTCAAGGTCACAAGCCGGGTTCAGTAACTCACGGACAGCGCAGTACAGAGGATCAGGCAGAAGGATGGTCAGGGATGAGCCAGTAGTCAGAACAGGAGACGGTCAACAGGAATCAGAATCAGGCAGGGTCGGCAACAAGGTATCTTCTCACAGGAACTAGGAACAGGATACAGGGGCTCATGGGAGACATACACCAAGGCACAGAGCACAGGCCTGGTCATGCCTTATATACACCTTTCTGTAATCAGCCCCAGGTTTGGCTGATTGTGAGCTTCTGGCTGCTAAGAGCACCCGCTGGTCAGCTCTGGTACTGCAGCCCACACGGCAGGAGAGTCCCACCACCAGTGCTGAGAGCACCCGCTGGTCAGCTCTGGTACTGCAGCCCACACGGCAGGAGAGTCCCACCACCAGTGCTGAGAGCACCCGCTGGTCAGCTCTGGTACTGCAGCCCACACGGCAGGAGAGTCCCACCACCAGTGCTGAGAGCACCCGCTGGTCAGCTCTGGTACTGCAGCCCACACGGCAGGAGAGTCCCACCACCAGTGCTGAATCCATTCCTGACAGAAACCCCCCCCTCAAGGAGCGGCCTCAGGACGCTCCAAACAGTCCTTAGTGGGCAAAATGTTCCACCGCCCGGGTCCGGTAACTGGCTGAATATCCTACTGCCGGAGTAAACCGGCTGGCTTGGTTTCCTGCTGGTAGACTTCTCTTTGTGTAGGAGAATCAAGGAAGGCAGGTCACTGGGCACAGGATTTCCAGGAGCAGGCTGGGTATCAGTTATCGGCCAGTTTAACTGGACATCAGGGGCTGGCATGTCGGGCTGTGTAGCGGGCAGAGGCACGTCAGCGGGCACCGAGTCATCTGGCACGACAGCGGGCACAGAGTCACCGGGCACGTCAGCGGGCACCAAGCCTTCTAGCAGAACCGCGGGTACCGGGTCACCAAGCTCGACAGCAGGCACCAAATTAACTGGCACGACAGCGGGCACTGAGTCAACTGGCATCGAGTCATCTGGCTCGACAGCGGGCACCGAGTCATCAAGCATCAAGTCATCCGGCTCAACAGCGGGCACTGCGTCAACTGGCACCGAGTCAACTGGTACGACAGCGGGCATCAAGTCAACTGGCACCGAATCATCAGGCATCAAGTCATCTGGCTCGACAGCGGGCACCAAGTCAACTGGCACCGAGTCAACTGGTACGACAGCGGGCATTGAGTCAATTGGCACGACAGCGGGCACCGAGTCAACTGGCATCGAGTCATCTGGCTCGACAGCGCGGGCACCGAGTCAACTGGTACGACAGCGGGCACCGAGTCAACTGGCACCGAGTCAACTGGTATGACAGCTGGCACCGAGTCAACTGGCACCGAGTCAACTGGTATGACAGCTGGCACCGAGTCATCAAGCATCAAGTCATCCGGCTCAACAGCGGGCACTGAGTCATCAAGCATCAAGTCATCCGGCTCAACAGCGGGCACTGAGTCAACTGGCACCGAGTCAACTGGTACGACAGCGGGCACCAAGTCAACTGGCACCGAATCATCAGGCATCAAGTCATCTGGCTCGACAGCGGGCACCGAGTCAACTGGCACCGAGTCAACTGGTACGACAGCGGGCACCGAGTCAACTGGCACCGAGTCAACTGGCACGACAGCAGGCACCGAGTCAACCGGCATCAAGTCATCCAGCTCAACAGCGGGCACTGAGTCAACTGGCACCAAGTCAACTGGTACGACAGCAGGCACCAAGTCAACTGCCACCGAATCATCAGGCACCAAGTCATCTGGCTCGACAGCGGGTACAGAGTCAACTGGCACCAAGTCAACTGGTACGACAGCGGGCACCGAGTCAACTGGCACCAAGTCAATTGGTATGGCAGCGGGCACCGAATCATCAGGCATCAAGTCATCTGGCTTGACAGCGGGCACCGAGTCAACTGGCACGATGGTACAGTGAGTGGGAGCAGGGTACTGACATGTGGTAGATTGCTGGGTATACTGGGCTGTCACTGGGGGGGCTGTCACTGGGGGTGTTGTCGGGAATGCAGGAAAAGAGCTTTGAGCGGAGGAATGATGAGAAGCAGGACTGGTTTGTTGCAAGCTGATTGAGGCTGGGTGTAACAAGTCTGACCATGTCTGCAGTAAGGGTTGGACAACGCTCAGCTTACACAAGGCCTGTCTGATCAAAGTTTGCACTGCGTTTATACACTTCTTTAGCACCTGTGGTGAATATGCTAAATAATGCTCCAAGAAGCAATCCGGATCATCCTCCAACAACCATACCAGTGATATTATTTGACTCGCCCTGAATGGAGGAAGAAATTCATCCCTGCTTTCAGGGGTACTAGATGAAGCCAAACTCAATACAAGCCTGAATCAATGGTTGCACCTCAGAGAGCTCTAGGTCCTGACCTACTAGGGAATGAGCGACCCGTATGCACTCTAGCAGCTGATCCCGGGTATACTCGTGCAGAGTCTGATAGGCATATTCCCTGTCATCAAAGACTAGCATAGACAAATATATAACCTCATCAGGATGCATCCTTCACAACAAGTCAAGATGGCTTCCCTGTGCAGCCACTTCTGGTCAGGAAAGGCCTTGGTGTGATGTCAGGAATCAAGGAATGACCAGAAAGGTGTGGACTGACACAGGGAAACACAGGTTTCAGGTATAGTATAATACAGGTTATTATTAGCCACCCAGATATATATAAATATAAACGCACAGTGCGCAAACCAACCTTCCA